CTTCTCGGCCGACAGCTTTTCCACCAGCCGGGTGCTGGCGGCCAGTTCTTGGGTCAGCTCTTCGATCCTCCTGAGAGGGAGGGAAGTGCAGGGTATGCTCAGGCACTGGGATAGCATTGTGTTGGCACTGGGGACGGCTGAGGGGGGCAATCTCTGGGGCAAAGCAGAGCACCCTCAGGGCTGCTCCCCATTCCCCACAGCCCAGCTCTCTCCCCTAGGAGGGGAGGGGATCTGACCACCCCAGCATCCCTGGATACCCACATCCTCTTGACCCCACACAGCGCAAGCCCCTCGATAGTCCCCAAGGCAAGCTGCAGTGCCACAGGGTGCAGGCTTGCAGCATAGAGGGGACAGGTCCTGGGCACCCACCTCTGGGCCGTGGCACTGCAGCTGTCATTGCTCCTGTCATCCTCCTTTTTCCTCACAGCTTCCTTCAGCTTCCCTTCCAGCTCCTGGCACCGTTCTGCCTCGGCTCTGGCCAGCGCTATGGCCTGCTCGGCCTCACTCCGTGCCAGCCTGGCCTCCTGCATGACAGCAGGGTGAGCCTCCAGGTACTGGACTGTAGCCACCCTTGGCCCCTACTGCCCCGGGCTCACCTCCTGCAGGAGCTGGATCTTGTTCTCCAGGAGCTCATAGACATGCTCTGATTCCCGCTGCCGCTCCTCATACTGCTGCCGGAGCGCTGCCTGGCTGCGGGTTGTCTGGTTCTCTGCAGCCACCCTGGCATGGTGTGGCACAGCAAAATGTGGCGCATGACATGGCACAGCATGGCACATGACATATTATAGCATGACACAGTATGGCACAACATGGCATGGCACGGCATGGCATGGCTTAGCAGTGTGCAGCACAGCATGGCATGGCCTCCTTTTGCAAAAGATCGCACCCTAGACCAGCTGGTGTGTGTGAGCCATGCCACCCTGGGTGGCCCCTGCCCAGCTGCCCCCATGCTGTGGGTGCTGTTTCTGCAGGACCCCCAGGCAGGACGCACTGTAACCTCCCAACACTGCTAACCCGGGGACACAGCTCCTCTGGCAGCACCAGGTCATATGCAAGCTCTGAACCACTAAAGCAGTCCCCCCACACTCCCAAAACCAGGGGCTCCCCGGCTGCGGCGACCCCAGCCCCCCCACCCAGGGGTGCTCCACTGTGGGGCACCCATGCCACAGCCCCTGGGCACAGCGCTGCCCTCCCCCGCCAAACAGGTGCTGCCCTTTATTTTTGGCCGGTGCCAGGGCTGTAAGAGGAGCCTTGTGGGTGCCCAGCCCCACTACAAACCCCTCCGCTGCCCGCTGCAGGCAGGGTGCAGGCAGACAGATAATCCTCATCTCTTGTGCCCATGCAAGTGCTGCCAACAATCCCTGGGTGCCATGTCCAAGGTGAGGGGGCTTGTCTGGGCCCCACTCACCATGTGTCGTCCAGGGCTTGTTGCTTCTCCTGCAGCTCCCGCTTCAGGCTCTCCACCTCCACCTTAAGCTCGATGTTCTGTGGGGCAGAAGGGAGGTGGGTAGGGTGTCCCCACACTTGCCCACGCAAATGCATCAGAGGTGGCATGGGGGTCCCCCGTTCCACGGCAGGGCTTTGGGTGCTTTCAGCACCAAGTGGCACAGGTGGTATTTTAGCCCACCAGCGCTAGGATTGGGTGAACGCACTCCAGCTTTCTGCACCCAAACTGGCACCGCCACACACTCTGGGCACCCTGCTGGGCTGGGACACCCTCCCCAACCCTGCCTCTGTTCCTGTCAAAGGCAACAAGGGTCAAAGTCTTGCACAGAAGCTCTCCCAGTCCCAGTGCCATGCCCAGTGCCCTTCCTGGCAGCCCCAATGGTGGCACTCGCCTGGCTCCATCCCCTCCCGGCAAAGAAAGGGCATTGGGAAGGAAACCCCCATTGGAGGCACCCGTCCTCATCCCCCA